ATATTGCTATATTTGGGATATACTGAAAATTAATATTAAATATTTATCTTTGTATTCTTAGTGCCTAGTACCTTGTACATCTCTGGTAATCCACTGGATTTGTGATCACATTAATGTGGGCATTTCTCCCAACATCATACATTTCAACCATTTGAGCCTACATATCCATAGTGACTTCTGTCCTTGTCTCTTGTTCATATCCCCATTATCCATGAGGATAAGAAGTAGCACCTGCCTCCCAGAGTTCTTGTGGTGATCAAATGAGATAATACGTGTGAAGTGTTTAAAGTCTTCTATGTGTCTGACACACAGAAGACACTCAAAAATGTTTTATTTTGTTTCTTTCCTTCCTACACAACACCAGTCCTTCCCTTCCACATCCTTTTTTCTATTCCCTTTTTTTCCAACATGGTATACCTATCCAAAGTCATTGTTGTTTCTTCTCATTTTCAGAGATACCTAAGGTATGCCACATTATATGTAAGTCAATCCACTATTTCCCCTACTGTCTTCAGTGGTTGAGATTTTCAGTCTTATGGTGTTGTATTTATACCTCAACCATTCAGCACCCAGTTAATACTTTTTACAGCCAATGATAACTTCTTAATAACTTGATAACCCCACTGGAATTCCTTTTCTGTGTTTCAACAATTCCGCAGCTACTACCAGAGCATACCAATCTCTCCCTTACCTTTGCTCTAGTTTTAATTTTACCAATTTTCCCCAATCAGCAATCCAAGCTATTGATTCACTTAATTATCTGTTTCATTTGCCTTTTCATGCTTAGTTTGCCGTGGCTTGCCAACTACTTTCTCCTTATCCTTCTTTAATTATCTCATGAGTCTACCTCTTCAGTTTCTCCCTAAACCTTCTCTCTTGGAAGTCAGTAAAAAAAAAATATAAAAAAGTCTATGAATCACTCTTTTTGTATTAGATCATTGCCTTATATTTTAGCAGAAAGGAATTCTGAGGATGGATCCTAAACTGAGTCCTAGAATAGATGACAGAGGAAGATTTAAGCATCAGTGTTTTCAAATTTCTTTATGAAAATACTAAATGTCTATCTTTGGATCAAGAGTAGAGGGAGAGTTTGGGTTTAGCTGATTTTCCTGTCTCCTTAGTCTTTTTATTCTCACTGGTAAAGATAGTGATTAAAGTGAGTTTGGGCATGTGGATATGTAAAGGTATTTCTGAACATAATATTTCCAGACTGGTAGAAATTCATTCAGTGTGAGGACACCAAGGCAAATACTGAGTATGCCATTTTTTTTGATTGATAGTAACACAATTTTGGAGCCACATAATCATAGAGCATTAGAGCTATAAGTGACCTTAGGGGTCATCAAATCCAGCTATCAGGGATGTGTTATTAAATGTTTAACAACTGGCTTTCTGGAAAAAATATCATGTTTTAAGTTGGATCTGTATTATTAACATTTCGTCTGCCACTTTCTTAAATCTAAGCAATCAGTAAATCATGCCCTGATTTGTAGAGTTCACAGGTTTGTAGTGTGTATAGATCTGTAGTGTTTATAGAGGGGTAAATGCTCATTCTGAATATTTAGCAGTTGGCTTTCTGGAGTGGGTTCAAGCGGGCTCCAGCACACCTCTATGGGGCTGAGAGAGGTAGGTGACTTTTCTCAGAACAAATAGCCAGCTAGGCTTCCTAAGATAAGAGTTTGCATAGAGAAAATGATGTCTGACTCCACACTCTGGAAGAGAAAGTGGGTGGTGTATAATGCATAGTCCCATGTCTGTAATTCACCCCTTTTGGATGAGGTAAGTGTTGACATTAGAGAATTTGGTAGGGTGCATGGATTTGTCTATTTATTAAAATGTCAGATGGTGTACCTCCTAAAAGTCAGGCGAGTTGGTGGTCTTCAAAACACAACATTAGAAGAGGATAAAATGTTTAATGGGTTGGCTTCGTGATATGCTCAAAACAGAGTTAGCTATATCCAGGATATCAAAAGCAAGGACATTTCATAAACATCTATAAAGACTCTCAGAAGGAGCGGTTTATAGTATGTTACACCTGAAATCAGTAGACCTGGGACTGAACCTTGCCTCAGATGTTTCCTAGTTGTGTGACCACAAACAAATCATGTAATTTCTCTGAATCTGTTTCCTCATATGTAAAATATAAAAAGCAACAACAACAGTAACATAAAAAAACCCTGTACTATCTACCTAATAGGGCTATTGTATGCAAGGAAAGCACAACACAAACCCTAAAACACTACAGAAATGTGAAGTTTTTTTTTAAACCAAAGGCAGATAGAAATACGTTAAGCCATATTTATAAGCAATTGTATATTAAATCAAGAGAAGGCAAACATCCAAGACATCTACTCTTTGAGCCAGTTCATTAATACCCTGCCAATATTTTACTTATTCTAAAATCACAAATGGTACATGTCCCAAGAAAGGCCAGCATTACCTCAAGGGAAGGCTGAGGTTATGTAGTTGTTGTGGCTTTACTTGATATAGGAATAGAAAGCTGCCTGCCCAATTTGGCCATGGTGAAGTCAGTTTTATGTGTCTCAGTGCTATCTTTTAGGGGACTAGTACCTCATGGGACTGACAACTTGGGCATGGCTTGTTTTGCTGCTGGCATATGAATATTAGTTTCAGCAGCTCCTTGGTATACAAAGTGAAGTGGGAAATGGAAGCATTTCCATTGATTGCTCAAGCCCCCAATGGCTTCTGCCTCAATCAGTTAAATATTTCAGCTAAAATTAAGTGAAACTGATACACCCTCAATTCTCGACTTCCCTTTGCATATGTACACAGAGTCCACAAGAGCCAAGTGTTTGCTTCTGGGAAAAGTTATTTTTGTAAAGTTAATGTAGTTCAGTCAGTGTCCTAAAAAGTGATCTGCCTCTGGAAGGATTCAAGCGGAAGTGGTAGAGCATTAACTGTAACGATGTTATTCTCCGAATTCTGGCTTATAGGCTAAGGCTCAAGCAGGCTAGATGTTATAACCTTTCCTGTCTCTCCCAGAAATCTTTGAGAGCAAAAAAAAAAAGATGTTGGCTTGTTCAAATCACAGGGAAATATAAACGGAGGGCAAGAAAACCACAACATCTGGAACACGAGTAAAGATTTTGCTGGAAAAGACTTGACAAACTCTAAAAACAAAGTTCTAGACTTTACTAATTTGTTTTGGCTGCAAAGTCGAGCTCCATGCAAAGCTCAAAGAGGATTTGTCTGAGGCTCCTTCTGCAGAAATAAAAAGCCAGCATGAACCAACATTAATGCATTGACTACATAAACAGTCAAGATAGTTATCTGATACAGGGAGAATATTGCTACACTGAGACTTTTTTGTTATTTATGGGATTATTATTAGAGGAAACAGGGCAATTAGATACCACCTCAGTCTCAGAGCTAAGGAAAGGAGTAAAGGTGTCAAACATGGTTTTTCAATTTGATTTCTTGATCATTTAATTCTTGCTACACTCTGTAATTAAAACACATATGTCCCTGTGTTTCTGTGCACTGTCAAGAAACTTTTTTGCCTTTTCAGTCTATATATTGCTAGTATTTTTTATGGATTTTAAGTAACATGTGGAGAATTTTGTCTTGTTACATTTTCATTGGAAACACTATTTCTTTTTGATGTGGTGAGAGCAGAGCTCTCCATACCTGATGACAAGCATACCATGAGAGACTTGAACTTTTGAAGGTGGTAGTCAAGTCAATCATAGTGGCTCCTTGAGAACAGGATATATCTCCAGTACTTAGTACAGTGCCTGGCAAATAGTAGGCATCTAATACATGTTTATTGACAGATCTCCATGATTTTGTGTAAGTCACTTAACCTTGAAGGCAGGTGTAATGGATAGAGGGCTAGGCTAGGAGTCAGGAAGATTTGAGTTCAAATCCCACCTCGGATGCTAGATGTGTGAACTTGAGCAAATCATTTAACTTCTGTTTACCTCATTTTCTTCAACTAAAAAAATGGGAATAATAATGTCACCTCCCTTCCAGGGTGGTTGTGAGGATCAAATGACATAATATATATAAAGAGCTTAGCATGGCCCATAGAATATAGTAGACACTATACAAATGCAAGTTCTCCTCCTCCTCCTCCTCCTCCTCCTCCTCTCCTTCTTCTTCCTCTTCCTTTCCTTTCCTTTCTTCCAAATGAGAAGCTGATATTGGGATTTGAACTCAGATCTTCTGACTTCAAATTCGGTGCTCTTGTCACTATATCATCCTTTTTTCCCCTCCTTGTTTTATCTTCCTTCTCTATGATCTATTATTTATTTCTTACTCCTCCTGTGGGTTGTTTATATTTCTATTCATTCTGTATCAAGCTCATCATTCTTCTGATTCTAGGTCACACAGTATTTCTTCCCTGGGGTCAAAGCCAGATCACTGAGGATCTACTCTATCTCTCAGTCTAGTGTCATTACCTAAGTAGGCCATCCTAACTTAATTCTGGCTGAAATTACCCTTCAGTGATTCCCTCTGAGCAGCTAGGATGAAACAAGGTATCAGCTAGTTCACCCACGGCCACTCAGAACAGGCCACCTGTCCACAAGGGATAACATGCAGTATTAAATCCTGTGTGATAGAATTATGTTATGATAAAGCTCCCAGGGATATACATAAGTAGCCATATGGAAAAGGGCGAAAATCACTGTCAGTGAAGTTAATAATATGCATTGTTCTAAAACATACAACTAGAAATGAATATAAAAATGATCCCGATGTAATTCTCCTCACCAAGCTAACTGACTCTTTGGAGAGAAGGGAAACTATCAGTTGCAGTCCTCCATTTAAAAACAAACAAACAAGCGAACTGAATCATCTCCAGGTTGCTTTTCCCCCCTTGCTTTCAAAAACTTTAAACCTCTGTCACTGAGAGCTACTGGGTGACTAAGAGCAGAGACATTTGCTTTCACTCCTTGGTAATAAGCCTGCATTTTCTTCCTAAATGTTTGAGTGAATGAGTGAGTGAAAGTCAAACAATTTTTTTTCTTTTCCTACAGACTTGAACTGAGATTAAAGAAGACCAATGTGGGTAAGAGGTATGTCTGAGTCCACAGCAAAGTGTGTTGGCTTCAAAGAGGGAGCATCCAGAGGGTGATTCATTCTGCACCATTCTTTTCCTGCCAATAGTTTACTTCCACGGTGTGAGGGGAGCCAAATAGCACAAAAAGACATTTGAAAAGTTAAGCATTATTCCAAATTTGACTATCTATATTTAATTGGATGGAAACTAAAATATTTTGGAGGGATGTATTTTAATTTTATTGGTGAGGGGTCAGGTAATGATTCCCCCTTATCATGCAAATTCAATACAGAGTTAGTGAGCTGGTGGCCGTTTACTGGCCTGAGTGAAAGGACTTGGTTTTCTGAGGCTATCTCTTGGTCTATGGGCATCCATAGCAAGGAATGTATTTTTCATGACTGTAAATCCAATTTACTACCTACAGTCCTCTCTGCCCCGCAGTTAATGAGCCAGCAGTTGCTGATCATTAGAAGGGAAAATCATCAGAAAAGAGTGAGGAATTCCACATCACCATCCCTGTCACTGTGGGATGACTATTCCACTTTATTTCTTCAGACTGTCCTTTGGCTTTCCCTGAAGTAGCCTGAGGTTATCAGAAATGCTACTGGTAACATATTCTATTTTCAGGACCCCTATTGCTGAAGCAGTCGTGTCCAATGGACTAGGCAGATGAAGTCTCCGCTAAACCATCAGATCAAGAAACGAGCTTCCTCCACATAAATGGACTTGACCATGGCTACATCATTAAATCCCTGGCCACATAACACGTGCTTGAGAAGAAAGCTTGCATGTGCCAGGGCACCTCATCAGTCAACCAAGCCTGGAAAGAAACTGACATGCACCTTTGCTCTTTGGATGCTGGTAAGTACATCACTAAGGAAGGCAAAAATAGTACTTGGGTTTTATAGTATTGAATTTCCATATATTTATCATATTACTGGCCAGAGAGACCATTCCAAAGGAGACAGCAAGAAGTTTGCTGTCTATCTGGACTATTGGCTGATTTTAATGTTTGGAGAAGACTTCGGTAGAGAACTACTTACAATGCAATGCTGACCAATGCAGAGCCAGCAAGAAGGGCTCTTTGGTTGACACAGATCATAAGGATAGTATGTTCTTGCAAATTCTGTTGATTCACAGGATCACAAAATGTTAGATTTAGAATGGACCTAAATATAGCTCACCCAGTGTGAAATATGCTCATAGGAAACTAGGGACCTTAGAATTAAAGTAATTTATGCTAGTAAATGGTAAAATCAGGATTAGAACCCTGGATTAGGACCTTTCTCTTGGCTTTACATGAAGTACTCTTTCTACTATAATACAGCCCACTTTTGGCCTTAATTGGGACTGGGATCCCCTTGAGGGTTGTTCATTTGTAACAGCCCCAACATTTCCAGAATAGCCAGAGGTCATCTAGTGTATTAAAGTCATTGCTAAAATAAAGTCACTTTTAACTTTCCTACTCTTCCCAAAGATTCAGTTTTGATGAATTTCAGCAAAATTCAGTGAAGGGGTGAAGTTCAGAAGGCAATACTCCAGGACTAAATTGGTCCTACTGAACAAAAATGGAATCCATCTCAGGGAACAGAACTAACTCCTGAGTGTTAGGAAGGACTGTGGTTTCATCTAGAGTACTTACTTGAAAAATAATATTCAGCTGGCTGTCCTATCGAAACTCAAGGAACTTGACTGGAACCAAACTGGTTTTTTTCTTACAATTTAAAGAGTCGAATAAATGACTTGATGAATTCTAATTGCTTGATGCATCTGCTGTGCTATAGACATGTTGAATATCCTTTAAAATAATGTTACCTCGAGGCTTCCCAGTAAATCTCATGTTCAGCTACTCAGAGTTTCCCCTGGGAATTTCAGAATTTGATCTGTATATTTTCTCCATGAAAAAAAAAGGGAAAACTCAAAGGACTTTCCTCCCATGCAAAAACTTAGGCTTACAAGACAGATGTCTCCTATCCTCTAGTAGTCCTATCTCCATCAGGCATCTATATAATCCACATGACTCGCAGCATCAGTGTAAGGGTGGGCCTAGTAGTCATAACTCAGTGCTCTCACTCTTTATCTCCTAGGAAACCATATGGATGTTTAAGCTTCTCCTTGGGGAACATGGTCTATCTTGGCTCTTTGCCTTGTCATACCTTGTACTATGCCAATTCTTCCCCTGATAGGGGTTGGTGCTTCTCCCTTTTGTGTCAGTTTTCCCTTTGGTAAGTACTCAGAAGTGCAGAAACTTTGAAGGGGGAGAATCCATCTAGTCCAAACCATACCTGAATAAGCATCTTCTGGACAACATACCCAATAGTTAGTCATCCAGTCTTAGCTCAAAAACCTCCAGTGAGGGGGAATCCACTCATTTTAGTGGCAGCCTCTTCTACTTCTGCATAGGTCTAATGGTAGGAATATTTTTTCTTACATAAAGCCTACGCTTTAATCTATTCCTTCTAGTTCTGCCTTCTGTGGTCAAGCAGCACAAGACAATTTCCTCTTCTGTGTGAAGACTTAATTACTTAAAGATAGCTATGATTTAAAAAAAAAGAGAGATGATAACAAGCCTGAAGTCCTCTTCTCTAGGTTAAACATCTCAGTTTCTTCAATAGATCTTCACTTTTGTAGAGGACTGGCCAATGAGGATTGAGACCTTGAAGCAAGTGTAGATATTCTCTATTTAATTCCAATTAAACACTTGGAACTTTGAGAGACAGTTTTCATGCATGATGATTCAGGGGATTCTTGCAGTAAGATGACAAAAAAGTCTTCTGATTGGCTATAGATTTAGGACTGATGACTTTGGAAGTGATGAGTCAGAAATGAATGTGCCAAGAGAACTTGCTTATCTCTCAATCTCTTTCCCTTGAGACTTGGAGTGAGGAAGATTTTTTTAAGTTGATGGGTAGAGGAAGGCAGCAGGCTACTCTCTTACTTCTCTTCCCTCTCCACATGCCCATGAACACATGACACCTTTGTTTCTTCTGTTTCTTCTTTCCTTATCCTAGACGAATTACTTTTGATCTTAAGAATATTATGAGATATAGTGTCCAGGTAATCACACATTTGAAAGATTATGAGGTCCCACCAGCAGTTACACTGGCAATTGGAGTCAGTAGCAAAGTCCACCAAAGCTGGAAGCAGTAGCCATGGGAGTTGGGGGGGGGGGTGCCTGAGCAGCAACCTTGAGATGAACCTGCCCAGGAAATGGCCTTGCAAGACATGGAGAAATTTCAGGGTGGTAGCTAAGTGGCAGCTGAGTGAGCTAGCCAAGTATTTTCCCTTCTTTGGAACCTGAACAGATGGTCCAGAGAGGGTGGAGATGGAGTAGCTGCTAAAATGGTAATGGCAACAAAAGAGGAAGCATACTGATGTGGAAAGATAGTCACTTGAGGACAACAGCGATCATAACCTGTCAGTATGGAAACAAGTAGTGGATATGGACTCCACAGAGGTATCAACTCTCCAAGCCCAGAAGAAAGCTACACCCAAGGGGAAACTTCATAAGGACTCTATCAATAGACTTCCATTAATCAGGAGCTATGAATAATTCTTTTCCCACAAGTGTTCTTTACAGGTGTCTGAAGATTTTTGTTTTAAATTTGAAACCTCTATACCCAAGGACCTTATCTGTGTAGGGGGAAGTAAACCTACAGCTTGGGAAGAAGGTTTTATACCAGAAGTTCTTATCCCTTCTTTTAAAATCTCTTTCCTCAGAAGTTAATAGAGCTTGTTGGTTGACTTGTTTTGGGAGCACACCAATAGGGTCTCAGGAATTACAACGTTAGACTTCACAGCTCTTCAGGATTACATTTTAGAACTCTGAGGAGAGAAGTAATAAAATGACCTTCTGGGAACCTCAGTCCTTGAATATGAGTGCCCAGTCAGACTGAGCTCAGGAGTCATTATACAAGAAAGACACGAGACAAGATGGTATACTATTTTGTTAGAGTTGGCCTTGTCTAGGGAATTTCATACCTTGTTCAAAAACAATAGAAAGGAAAGAAGCTTGCTTGAATTCTCATCAGGCATGTCTAGCTACTCTGAGATACATATATGTGTTTGTGTATGCACACACACATGCAGACATATGTAAACATTTAATTTAGAAGACCTACATAAACTGGGTCTATTAAATATCTATAATCTGATCTAACAGGCATATTCAGGGTGTGGTTGGCTATTACCTTTCCTCTTCCCCCTTTTTTCCTCACATCCCTCCCTTTCTCTTCCCCATATTTTTCCTTCTTTCCTTCCTTCCTTCCTTCCTTCCTTCCTTCCTTCCTTCCTTCCTTCCTTCTTCTTCTTTCTTCTTTCTTTCTTTCTTTCTTTTCTTTTCCTTCTTCCTTCCTTCCTTCCTTCCTTCCTTCCTTCCTTCCCTTCCTTTCCTTCCTTCTTTCTTTCTTTCTTTCTTTTCTTTCTTTCTTTCTTTCTTTCTTTCTTTCTTTCTTTCTTTCTTTCTTTCTTTCTTTCTTTCTTTCTTTTTCTCCTTCTCAACAACTACAAATAGGTATTGAGTAACCTGTTCTGCTTATGACACCATGCAAATCCAATCCAATCCAATCTTATCCAATAAACATTTATTAAGCACCTACTATGTTCCAGGCATTGTGCTAAATTCTGGGAGTAGAATTAATAAAAAGAAATACAGTACCTGTCCTCAAGGAGCTTATAATCTAAAGGGGGAGACAGCACACCAAAGGAGTGGTTGAAGGGACTTCTTGTTCCATGGAGCTGAAATCAGGCAGAGGAGCAGATACAAAGTGGAGAGAGCTGGTGCTGTATCTGTAGGCTGTGGGGAATACAAAGAGGGAAAAGACTTGGTCCCTCCTCTCAAGAGGGTTATTTAACCACATTAAGATAAAGGGATAAAGGGACTTATAGGGCAAAGACCTATAGGAAATTCCAAGAGCTTTATCTGTGTGTCAGGGAACATCTCCAGTAGATTATCCAGGATAGAAAGGAAGCTTCATCATAACTGAATGTTCAGTCACTTCCTGGCTGCTTCCTTGTAAGGTTTATGGTTTGTCTGTGAATCTCAGAAGACTTCTTGTTCATTTACCCCTGCTGGCAGTAAAGTGTTCCTTTCATGTCTTGTGGTATAATCAGCACAAGTCTCTTCTGTACTCAGGTCCAACTATGGTACTTTGTGATGGCAAATTACTTGTTTCTTCACTTTGACTCTCAGTTAAAAAACTAGATGCTTCAGAAATTGTTCTTTCTAGATATCCAGTTGCTTACCATACAAACAGTCCCATTCAAGGAACAGGATAGAAATGGGAAAGCATTTAATTGGGATAGAAATGAACAATAAACCAACAGAAATCAATCACTGCCACTGTCATTAAGAATTATAAAATTTGTCTCTCCCTGAAGAATAGCTTGAGTCTCAAGTCTTCCAAATTTCCCATTCTAATAGAGAAGGAATGGACACAGCATGAACTTAAGAGCCTTCAAAATCATTCTTTTTATGTTTTCCAGCTAGTCTGTGTCCTTCTTAAAATGTAGTGCCCAATACTAACAACAAAACAAACAAACAACAAAGTCCAGATGTGATCTGTCCAAGGCAGATTATAACAAGACTTTCATTTCCTTATTTCTGGAAGTTATGATTTTTTTTTTTTATCTAGAATAACATCACATTAGCTTTCTTGTTTGCCACATTGCCTTATTGACTGATATTGAGATTGTGGTCCACTAAAATGCTCAGATCTTTTTCAAATGATTTGCTGGTAAGCTGTGTTTCCTTTATCTTATACTTATGAAGTTGATTTTTGAACTTGAGTTTTAAGACTTTAGATTAATAACTGGTAATATTGCTCTTGCTGTATAAGGCCCAGTGCTCCAGACCAT